GCTTTGGCACGTCGGGCTCGCGGCTGCGCGGAGAACCCGGTAGCCAGCCTGCGTCGCCGGTCCAAACGCAGAGAAGAAACCGGACAGATGTGATATCCGCTGCGCCTGACCCGGAACCACCGTCTTCAGAGGATGACGACTTGGACGCCGATTCCGATTCCTCGCGCAGCGGAAGCGAAGGAAGAACGGAACCGGAATCGGGAGAGGAGCTGGATCCGTTGAGGGATCCCCTGGCGGAGCCGGGCACGCTGGATATACGAGCATGGGAGCGGCTAGCCTTAGGAGTTCAACCGAGGATCCAAGGCCAGATTCCGGAAGCTTCGCAGCGACTTCGAGTCAGGTCCGTGTTGCAAACCCTGAAGCAGAACGAAGGAGAGCCAACGGAAGCGGAAGCGGAAACGCTAGCGCGCGACCTGCACAACATTGCAACGGAAATTCCGGTGGCAGATGAGTTCGTAGCGGGGAACTTCGCCCGGAATCGAGCAGCGTGGGAAGAGATGCTGCGAGGCAACAATTCGAGGGCTGCGAGGCGGGTCCGCAGCTGGTTACGGCAAGGGTTTAAACCTACCTTTGCTCGGGCGGATTCCGCTAAACCCCAGAAGCGAAAGGTGGTAGAAGGAATGCTCCGGAAGCAGTATCCAAACGCGGAAGCGGAAGCTTTCCTCACTGGAGATCGGCCACATCGAGCCAGCTTCAAAAACCACCGCTCTTTCTACTAGTACTGGGAGTTCTCCTCCCAGGAAGTCCTCAAGCTTCTTCTCTGGGGCGCGGTTTCCCTTGTTAAGCCTGGAGACGAACCGGTCGAAGTGATAAACCCCCTCGGAGTAGTAGACCAAGACGGAAAGTGTCGCATGTTCCTCAACGCCCGTTATGTCAACCTCTTCCTGGCGGAGCTCCCGTTCCAATATCAACGCCTCCGGGACGTCTTGGTCTTTATAACCCAAGACAGCTTCATGTCTACCTGGGATCTCAAGTCGGGGTACTACCACGTGTTCTTGCATCCCTCGTTTCGCAAGTACATGGGCTTCCAGGTTGGGCAGCTGGTTTTCCGTTACAACGTGCCAGCTTTTGGCCTCTCGCAAGCTTGTTTCCTGTTCACGAAGTTGATGAACGAGCCAGCGAAAGCGCTACGGCAGCGCGGCGTGCCAATCTCAGATTACATTGATGACGGCATCACGGCGGCAGTTACCTTTGCCCGATGCCTGTTCAATGCGATCTCGTCAGCTCGACTTTTGGCTGCGCTAGGAGCATTCCTTGGGCTTCCTAAATGCAACCTCAGTCCGGATCAGCTTCGAAAGTGGCTCGGGTTCATCATCGACTCGGTCAATCAACGTTTTCAGCTTAGCCCGTCGCGTCTGGCCAAGTTGAAGCAGCAGCTCCAAGTCATCTTGCAAGCCCAGCATGTAACTGCTAGGGAGCTCGCTTCTCTTGCGGGGCGTTTAGTCCCAACCGGCCCCGCAGTGCTGCCAGCCTCTCTTCGAAGCCGTCCGTTCTTCCAAGCGCTGAAAGGACAGCTCAGCTGGGACGCAATATTTCCAAATCAGTTGGCAGTTCAGCAAGCTGCAGCGTTCTGGTTAGAAAACCTGGAACGCTTCAACGGAAGAGGCTGGTGGCCGCCTCCCGTCTCTATTCAAGCGTCTGTGGACGCATCAGGAGTCGGTTTTGGTGGCGTGCTCATCTTGCCCGGTCAAGTCCGAACTCCATTTAGGGGCACTTTCTCAGAAGAGTTCGCCCAAGCATCTAGCACGGCCCGGGAAGTAGCCGGATATCTCGGGGCGGCGCGGACCGCGTTTCAAACACATCCAAACGCTCTCAAAGGCGCCTCCTTGTTGATAACCGGCGACAGCCAGTCCGCCGTGGCTTGCATCAATGAGCTTCGCAGTACCCAGCCGGACATCCACGGTCTTCTCCAACAGCTATTCGACCTCTGCCTTGAGGCCGACTGTTCCGTGCAAGCTCGTTGGGTTCCCCGGGGACAGTTAACCGAGGCGGATCGGATATCCCGAGAACCGGACGCTGGGGACTGGGGCCTTAACCCGATCCTGGTCAACGCGATCAAGGCCCGCTTTGGAGTTCAGCCCATCCTGGACGTCTTCGCCTCTGCAGTCCACCACGTCACGCCCAACTTCATCAGCAAGTTCTTCGAACCCGGCTGCAAGGCGGTTCAAGCCATGCGTCAAGACTGGCGGGACTTCGTTCCACCAGGCCAGGTCGCCTGGCTATTTCCGCCACCGGCTTTGGCGGGTCAAGTTTTGGCTAAGCTAGCACTGTACAAAATAGATGCCATTCTAGTGCTTCGCGACCAACGCGAATCCAATGAACGGGTCATGCTTCGTCACCGGCAGGATGCAGCAGTCTCGGTCCCATTTCCGATCCCGAGGTTAGCATCGTCGTGCACACGCAGTATGCGTGTGCCTCAGCAAGCAGTAAATCCAGCATTCCTTGGATTAAGTGCAGTGTATATTCATTGGTATCAATGATGTGTATGCCAATTCTGGCCACATACAGCAACGTCAATCTGTTTGTCTGTTCTATTCATACCATTCTCAAGTGTTCAGACTCGGAAGATAACCCAGTGCCACTACAGACTTCCTCGCCTAAATTTGTTTGCTATTTCCTCTACGTACATCCTAAAAGCGGCCCGGCTCTTCCACCGGCCTCGTGCCATTAACTGCTCCACGTTGTAACCCTCCAGCTCAGCTGCATGTTGCACTGCCGACCTCCGGAAACTGTGCAACGTCTCTTCATCATGTAACCCAGCTCGCAGCATATGCCTTTGAATCCGCCGATTCATGGCACCTGAACTCAGCGCCACATTCTCAAATCCGTTCCGTTGCCGGTTCGCTGGCCGGAACAGAAATCCATCTCCTATCACCACTCCCATGCTTTCCATCTCATGGACCAGCAAAGCGGCCGCCCACAGGAAGCCGCTCACATCCGCCTCCGCGCTCACAGTGATCTCGGCACTGGGCTCGTCCCGGACCGTTTTGCTCCATCCCGGCCGGATCACTCCCCCGGCCGCATCTATCTGTCGTGCTTCTAATTCTCCACACTCTTTACCACGCGCCCAAGTTTCCCACAAGTACAGCACTGCTGCCCGGTCCATTGCCACACAACACCTCTCGAACCCATGCAGCCGTTGCGCCTCCCGATTCAGGTGCTCTACCAATTTCGTCACTTTGTCCTCTGACATTACCTTCGCTCTTTTCTCTCGCACGCCTACTTCCCGCAGACCCACTCGATATCCTTCTCGATAACTTCAGCCGCCTCGCTTTTTGCAGGATTGGCTTCGTCCTTCACACCCAGCATGCTATAATTTTTTGCGATGTGCCCGATCACACCTTTCACCGCAGATGCTGACGCCACCTTCTCGCTGCGACCAGCTACTTTCGTTCGAAAGTTTTTCTGATGCCCCGGCAGCCACCACCCTTGCACAAACGCTACTACGTCCACACCTTCTGCTGCCTCGATGTCCTCGCAACCGATGCTCGCTAAAAACTCTCCGTACTCCCCGAAAGTTCTGCTTCGCTCGTCCTCGAATCCGCTACTCACTGCTTTTCGGCTGATCCGCCCTCCTTCCTTCACCGCTTCTGCATACCGTTCCCGCGCTGCTCGCACATTCCGCTCTTCCGGCGCTTCATGGATTCCCACGTTCACTCCCCGGGCATCACGCCAACTCTTTCCCATCTCCTTCCGCCATTTTTTCCTGCACCGAGCAAAAATCCCCTTGCCCGTCATCCTTCTGGGCAAATTTCAATTTGGGGCACCGCCGAAACGTTAAGAACCGAGTGTGCGTCCTGCTGGAAAGCGGGGCTTTCAGTTCGATTCGAAACACAACCGGAGGGCTGTCCTTAGTTGTTAGCTAGTGGACTGCTCGTTAATTGGACAAGAGGATTTTAGATTCATCGGACGGCTGACGTTCGATGAACTTTAAGCTCATTCGACAGCAAACGCAAGACCTCGCCCCTTTTTCTCGGGACCTCTTCGGAGGAGCTTTTTTGGAGGCGCTAGGGCGCCCTGAAGTTTTCTCGTACCCTACCCACCCACCCCAGTTGCTGTACACAGCATCATTATCTTGCCACAAACACAAACAATTGACGTGTTCATCTGACCCCAATTCTAACCAGATCTGCACCACAATTCGCACAATAACATGCCAAGCAACATGCCTGCATTACATTGACGTCATTCTAACCACCACCTTCCAAATCCACACAACGACAACACCCGCCGTATTCACCCGGCGCGTCAACGAATCTTCTCTCTCAACCTCTGGGCAACTTTCTTACAAAACACGAAAACTCGCCATCTTCACCCGGCGCCCTGCCAGGCGCGCCGTCCAGACTCGCTCTATTCACCCGGCGCTTCACCCAGAGCTCCATCACACCCTCTGCCACAAGCTGTTTATCCCTGGCTTACCACTCCCGGCTCGCCCAGCTTGCCGCCAACTTCCCACCGCCCTTCTTCCCCTGGACTTCGCCACTCGGGCTGACAGCCCCGCTCTCCAGCGCTGTGACGGCGGGGCTAGTTAGCACGCCGTTGGACTGAATACACTTACGGCTGTCAGTCTGCTTACACATGTGCGGAAACCATGGGCAAGCTTTACAGCCAACAGACAAGGAAGACACGTGAGAGCGCCTCTCTGT